GCCACACACATATACAAATACATATACATATACCATAACTGCACCGTTATTAAGAAACTCTTTATTAATTATGAGCAGGCTGCAGTTCATTACGGGCAATTTGAGGTGGGTGTGTTTTTGATTTTGTTCGCACAGCCCCGCAAATCAATTTTAATCGAATGTGCTTTTTGCGAATTATTTAAGTATAAAATTGAAAAGCGTATTGAATACTTGTAGATAAATATTTGCAATAACTATGGCAATAGGCGAGGCAATCAATTACTTGATAATAAATAATTAAGTATACGTGAAGTCAATTTTGAAGGAGTATTTAATTCGAGCCGCAAATACTTTTTACAACTCACAAATGATAAGGTTATCTCTATTCAGAAACTCGGAGAATTACCAAACTCCTTTGGGCCAACAATAAATGTCAAAAAATCGCAGCAGGTTAACTTATTTTGCGCTACTTAATAAACAATTTTGAACAATTTGCGTTTATTAGCGGCCCACAACAAAAACAAGCACAACAATCGACTGGGACTAAAAACAAGTCAATATATATATCTATGTGGTGGCTGAGAGGCTGAGGAGGGGATTGAGTTAAAATGATCGCCGCCGATATTTATCGTTGCGCTTGGCTCATTTGCATAGTGGTGCATGCGAAAGAAAAAATACACAATATGTATTGGCTGGCATAAGCAACTCGCAGCTGGCAATTAGTGGAAGCGTGGAGAGGGGCAAGGGGGGATTGGATGGGGGGAATTGGACGCAACACGATCGACCGTTTGCCCGACGGGGTTATCCATTTATCCATTTGCAATTGGCCTAGTCGCAAATTCTTTGCTAGCAGCCGTGTTGCTAATTACTTTATGTATAGTTTGTGGTGACCGCGCATTGTTTTATTTTCGAGTTTCGTTCTATCGATAAAATTGATAAATTGCAATGTTGTCGTGTTAATTAGAGGGCCACACATACCGCGACCAGCAGGTGGCGCTGCAAATGCTCGCGCTGTTTTTATCGCCCGCAAAACGCGTGCAAGCCTCAAACTCTATTCTGTTATACCTAACTCAATGTATTTGATTGATTGGTGGTAAATTGCTGGTACTTGTGCCTAATTACAGTTATTGTTGTTGCTGCGGATTAGAAGTGAATGGCTGACTGGCTGGCTGAGTAAGTGAAAGTGAGTTGCATACTAAATGGAAATAGAGTGCATCTTTCACGGTCATTATCGATATGGATATTAAATGATTGCTTGCTGGACCTAGATTTGTTGCTTTGTTAGCACTCCTTATTTGTAGTATAATTTGCAGGTTTATTCGATTTTTTTGCAGTCTCTCAATTAGTGATGGTCAATTATGAAAATTGTTTCAAAATCGTGATCACTGCTAATGTGCTTGTGTGTTGATTAATTGCACAGCGGTGGGCAAATAATATAGACAAAAAAAGGTGTCACAACTCGTCTCTCTGGCTGAGACTCGCATAGCATAGCTGATATAAATCTTCGTAGATCAAGAAACAGCAACAACAGCAACAACAGCAACTGCAGCAGCAGCAGCAATTCAAAAAATCGAATTGCAATTACAATGTTTGGCATACCACAGAGTCAAAGATACAAACTGTTGAAGCGGAGCTGCATTTGATTGATTGCGTCTTTTTGTCAATCATGGATACGTGATGCTATCAAAATGCTGGGATAATTAACGCCATATTTGTTGTTGTGGTTGTTGTTGTTGCTGTTGTTGTTGTTGTTTTTGTTGCCAAGCGATGACAATTAGACGGCGCACACAAACCCAAAAAGTAAATTGCATGCGAGATAAAAATCGTGTTGGGTTTTTGCTTTCGAATGCGGCCAAAATGGTTGCAAGCGCGACTTTTATGGCACTTTTAATGCAAACGATTTGAATTTGAATCGAAGACAAGACAAGACAAGATATTTTGGCTGCCGTATTTTTGTTGTTTTTTTTCTAACGACGCGAGTTGATTTGTCGCCTGCGCGTGTCAATCACACAACTCTTGAAAGATAGAAAACTTTGGTGCGCAGCTAATAACACGATTTCCAAACGATAATTAGCGAGAGGATAGGTAGCCACAGTGGCTACCTGGCTACCTCGCTAGTTGTGGAGCTGCCACTTAATCTAATGACAGTTCTCAGTTAAAAACACGCCCCACAACAACAACAACAGCAACTGCAGTTCAGTCCACAGTCCACACGGCAAAAGTGGTAACTGCTTAATCGACTTCTGGTTGCAACTTAGATAGCTACCTCTAGATATACTTACTCGATACTCGTACTCGTAGTTAAAGTTATGTAAAGTGCTTGTTGGCCAGCTAGCTAGCTGACACACTTCCGATATATAACCGTAACCATATCTCGTATAAGGAGAAAAGCTGGCCAGCTAGTCACCAGCTATTCGAATAGCAGCAGCTGCTGCTGCTGCTACTGCTACCGATGCTGCTCCACTTGGCTAAAGACAATGATAACTCATTGGAGTCGAGCCTCGTTTTACTTGCTTATGGTCAGCAATAAACTCAATTCAATTCAATTCAATTCAATTGCCCGGCAATGAGCAACTTTTTCCGGGGCGCATCATCAAATCAAATCGAGTCAAATCAACTCGAAAGGAAAGTTTCTCTCTGTTTTTATTTGACTTGCTGTGCATGGATCTAATTGTATTCGGCTTTTGAACTGCGCGAGAGGTGTCAGACATTTTATGGCTTTAAGCACACACTCACACACACACACACACACGCACACACATGGGAGTGCTATTCTATGAAATTGTCAGTTCTCACTTCATTAAAACAGCTTGGCAAACAAATGCTGTCATTGTTCAACTTGTCCAGGCGCCTCAAAGAAATTTAACTGCAGACAAACCACAAGAAAAGGAAATCGAAAAAAGTATAAAATTCAATTTGAAATATGGTAAATGCATAAAGAAATGTTTCGCTTGTAGCTTATAAAGTTATGACACTTTTGGATTAGACATGTGTGTATTCATTTCTAATAGAAAGCATGGCTTACAAGCTAAACAAATATCGAATTTTTGGCTTTTGATCATTGGAAGTGTTAAATTAGTCAGCTAAATGTCATATTTTTAGATGTGTTTGCGTCTTATAAAAAAAAACTACTTACTTTTTATAATAGTTCAAAGTTCTCTCTTAAAATCAAATAAACTTCAAATTTCGAATTCGAATTCGAATTCACAGGCTTCCTAATTGTCCAAGGGTCAAATGTGAACTGGAATCAAGCAGTCAAAGCTTTGAATCTACAAAACAATTACTGCAATCACTTTCCATGTAATTAATTTAATTTGATTTCAACTGCAAGAAGGCGCTTCCTGCTAGGGGGAGATCAACATCTGAGCATCTTGGCATCGGGATCAATCGGGAGTTGCGGGTCGACTGTCAGCAAATGTCACTTTAAATACGCCAAAATAGCGCAAAAGATTCAATTGGCGGGGCGCCGCCAGACGTTGCCGCAGATCTACCTGCACAGATAGCGGGTATTGAGGCAAGTTGCTTGGTTGGTAGCAGCGAGTAGAGATACGATTACTTCTGTAGTCATCGTCATTGCGGCAGTAGTCAGTATCTCATATCTGTGCGAGTGTATCGCAAAAGCGACTGCCAAATGACTCAACTGACAGTTGGTTTTATTTTTTGCTTGCCGGTGCGGCTGCAGAGTTGTGGACGTGGATGCTGCTGCTGCTGCTTCAGCTTCGTAGACGAGAAATTGGGTCAGGCATTGCAAGCAGGCAGGCTGGCAGGCAGGCAGTCAGGCAGGCAAGTCGACTTGGAGTCGCCTCAAGTGCCGGGTACGAAACAAACTGACAGCTCGACCATCCAACAGTATCTTCTGCTTTCTAAGGCAGCCCAAAAAGTGTGTGTTTTACTTTTCGCAGGCGGCAGCCAGCAGCCAGCAGCCAAGCAGCAGGCATATTTATGAACATGAACATACAACTTGATATTTATTTCATTGATTTCAATTTTGAGTTTTCAGTTTTCAGCCGGCTCGCTCTCGACACGTGACATGGGATTTCACTTAAGACTGTTAATGCTCGCATAAGCAAACATAAAATGTGCCAAATGTTGGACATGACATCGAGTTGAGCGAACACCGAGTAGCTGCTACATCGCTGCAGACTTTGAGCCGACACTCAAAAGGACAGCAAAACAAACAATTACATTCAGATTCAAATTCAAAGACAACAACAACCAAATACAAATGAATAAAAAACAAAAATCAAAGACAAATACCTAAAATCCGACGTGTAAATTGATTTCTAATTATTTTCAAGATTTCTGCGTCTTTTGCTGCGAAAGTTACAAATCGTTTCAAATGCTCGTGAGACTTATTTTCTTTCTTTGACGGCGACTTTCTCGCTTAGAGCGGCAACATTTTATTTTCAAAGATAGTTTCAAAAAGCATATTTTCAAAACGCAGTCAGGGTGAATGACGTAATTCTGATAAGGTTTAATGGTAGAACACTAATATAAAAAAAGGCACTTGAACTTGAACAAACTTTAACCTTTTTAAAAGTATTATAAGACCGTTAATTTATCACAAATAAAACTTAATAATATATGCAAATTATAATCAGAATATTGCATTATAATAAAACAAACTGTTTGACCCTCGCATAATAGCTTGATTAAAGGCAAATCAAACGTTTTACGAGCTGGCTACAAAATGCGCTTTTATGTCATCTAACACTCCACTCACACAATGGCCAATTAACGGTGCTTAGCCGACGTCTTGTCCACGCCCACATTGCTTGCATGTACAAATGTGTCAAAAGTCAGTTGGCTGATAAAAGAGGCGCCACAAAAAAGATGAACGGAAATGAGAGTTGGTAAAAAATATCTTTCTTCTTTTTATACACTATCCATTTGCATGACCGACCATAATCAAGTAGTCGTTAAGGCAAATGACCAATAGACATGCATCTGATGCGCCTCCGCACGCACAAGCACACACCCAAGATACATTTGTATCTTTATATCTTAAAGTACGCACTCACCTGCATATAACGCGACAGAGCCGCGTTCCGCTGGGCATGGGATCTCAACTGGGGCTGTGGTGAGCCCAGTGGACTGACAATCGTCGAGGTGGAGCCACCGATGCCGGTGTCATAGCCCTGAGCATTGGCACCATCAACATCTATTAAAAGAAAAACATAATCTTAAGGTTAGTAACATTTAAAGAAAGTAATCAGAATTGGGATTGCATCAAATGTGCCAAAAGTTGATCATTAGTGGCTTTTCATACTTTCTAATGTGAGTCTCAGGCACAGCAATCAAATGCAATAGTTTTCAAACATTATTTTTAATATTTTAATGGGTTGGTCAGTTGAAAAAAAATATATAAAAGTTGGCTTGATAAATAAAATGTATCCATAAGCCAACTCTTCAGCAAACGATAATTGAGATGAAAACTAAGATCGTTAGGCTAGTCGTACCACAAGTATTTCAAAATTTGACGAAGACCCATTTAAAGCGCTCATAAAAACAAAAGCTTAAGTATTTTCTATGTAGTCAGTCTTAATTACTTTCTGTGTGGAATGACTGAAGGCATATGCCGATGGGGCTTACAAATTAAATAGGATAAATATCGTAGGCATTCTGCTAACCATTACTAAAAAGAAAGTAAGAATACTTTAGACGAGCGAGCTCGACTTGAATATACCCTGAACCCTACTGACAAACAGTGATCTAGTTAACAAAATCTGCATATATTATACAATTTTAATGAAATTCTTACAGCTGGCTAATTATATATGTGGGTCTATTATATATCAGTTGGCAACAATTGTGTCCTTATTGCTATTGCAAATGGATTTGAATCGATAGTCGCTACACGGTGGCAGTAACCGATAAATTTAAATAAACTTGATTTATGTACTTTACTCAACTCTTACAACCAGATATATTTTATAACTCACTATTTACATTAGCATTACAATGAAATTATAGAATTATAGATACCATATCATATCATAAATACCAGAAACAGTTGACACTATGCAAATAGTCAATAGTTTCACCTGGCTGATCGGTCGATCGGTAGATCACACGCTCTATAATGCCCCGGAATGGAATCTATTATAAGCTGATTATGTATGCATATACCAGAAGTGCACAACATTTACATTTATTACTCCAAGTCGCAACGTGTGTTGTTCGATTCATATGCCAATTGTGTGTTGTGCCTGTCAATTGGCATGCAAGCCAAGTAGGCTTTTGCGTTTGGGGCAGTCGGGTAACTTCATAAAGTACCAGACATACCGTTGCGTTGCCCATGAAAATTGAAAGTTATGCGCACATTTAGTTAATGCTGACATGATTTCCTATAGCCCGGCTCCACTGTGCACGCCCAACTTGCCGCTGCTGAATTTATTAACTAGCTGCCCATCGTACAACTCAGAGTCGTGTGTGCTGTGAGCTGTGTGCAGTGTGTAATGTGTTGTTGTGTGTGAATTTATGATCTTTCAAGTGATTTCTGTCTTCGCTTTATTTATGGTGATGGGATTGTTGTTGTACACCACATACATACAACTTGTGCCTTACCCAGTTGCCCTCGCTTATTAGCATAGCTAATTAAGTGATACACTTTGAGCGAGTTGTAGGTTAAATGGATGAGTAAGCAACTAACTGAGGAGCACTTGGCTAATGAGCAACTGAAGAGCCTCCATTGTAATTAGAAATGTAATTTTGTACACACGTATACACATTTATTTAAATTACTTTTCAAATTATCGGACAAACACTAAAAATAGATTTTAAAAGCTCATATAGATATTGATGTTTAACTACAGATCGTAAAAAAGAGCAGTTATTTGCAGCTTGCAAGTATTTGATATGGTGAACAAATTGAAAATCAATCATATAGACAAAAAAAAAAAATAAACAACAAGCATACACATAATACCTAAATGGCGCATTCCGAGATAAGAGTGCAACATATAAAACAAAAAACACTCAACACTTGCAACTGCATTCGAGGGTTGGCTGCTTGGCGTCACAAGCACACATTTGTATGCCGTATATGGCATATCCAAAAGATACGACAGACAGATATATTTACTCACCTTTGAGGGAGCTGTTCATGCACATGGGGCACTGATCGTTGCGGAACATGCAGGAATAGCAGCGTTCGTGTCCGCAGGTGTCGATCAGTTTCCGTCGCTTGCCCTTATCGAAGGAGATGCGGCACGAGGGGCAAACGGAGCCGCTGGCATCGTGTTCCAACAGTCGTCGGATCGATTGCAGATCTGCAACAAAGTAAAATCAACAAAAATTAATGTGTGTGTGAATGCTAAAAACATGCTTCGTTGTAAATAGATATTCACTTGGTATTTAGAGTTTGCCATATTAAAGTGATTATCATTTAAGCGGCATTTAAGTTAAGTTATTTTATTCTACTCATAAAATGTGTCGTATTTCAACAATGTTTATATAGCTAAGCAGTACTTAAGCCTTATAAACCTTGATTTATAATTCATACATACAACTAATATATTGACATTCAAGAAGTTAATTTCAAACAACTGCTACAAATGATTTTTTGTAGCAGAAGCTGGCAAATACTCGAAAAGTTAGTTATTCTAATATATTCTAGTCTAAGTCGATGTTATGCAAAATTGCATTGCTCAGTTTGAAAATTGCACAATTTTTTTTTTGTTGGCTGTTGTCCATTTTTTGAATTTGTTTGCTTCATGTCAAAGCAATTTCCACGCTTAACAGTCACAATTACGATTTATAAAGCACAGCACTTGTTTGATATTTATTTGTTTTGGTCTCTTTTTTTGTGCAGCCGTTTGCATAAATTGTGTCTGTCAATTAAAGGCCGTTTGTGGACTCCTCGGACTACAGCTGCCAATCTTTACTTGTGTGCAACAATGCAACACAGCAGCAACAACAACAACAACGACAACAAGTCTTCTCTTGATATCGCACATTTATCTTTTTGATCAGTAGCTGCAACTACACCTCCCCCAGCTGCCTCCCTTGTGGCCAAGAGCATCGCTGAATGGCAAGAGGCAATCAGAGGCATTCTTCTCTTGACTGCACTTTAATTGATTTAATTTGATCGCTTGGTTTATTATTGCAACTAGCACTTTGTCTTTCTGTGTCAATACTATGTAAAAATGTGTGTGCAACAATCAGCAGCAATGTTTACGATATGTTTGCAAAGTGCTGCAATGTGCAGTTATCAGTATTATTGGGGGCTCGCTAATCAATGAGAGAATAGAGGGGGTTTTATTTCTGGGTAGTATTTATAATTTAAAAAATATGTATATCTTCTCGCGAATTGTTCAAATTCCACTCATGTAGTTAGCTGGAAATTGAAAAGTTTGTCTCCAATTTGTTACTAAACAAATACCAAGAGTTACTAACGATTATTAATCAACGAGAACCGTTTAATTCACGAGGATATTTCCGATTACACCATATTTATCATCTATAAGAAGTTCATCTAGTTTTTCTTCCATAGCATTTAGTTATCTATCAACTAAGAACGCCAACTGTTGTTAGTCAGCGAGTACAGCGAGTTTCAAGAAAGAGGATACACAATTAGCATATTCTCATCTGCTCATGCCCACAATTTATTTCTGCTCCTGGTTTCTCTGTTTGTGCCCTGTCAGCCTCTTAACATATGGAAACTGCACGAGGCTTTTGTAAGGCTGAAGTGAAGACTTGAAGCATTCAACGGTCTCTATTCAAAGTCATGCCAAATGCCAGGCCGCAATTCCTGTTTCTGTGTAGTGTGTTTCATATTTTGTGAGTGGGAACTGCAATGTCGACAATGTCCAAATCGACGACGATGACGACGACGACGACGACGCCAACAAGAACCACGTCCGGTCGTCGTAAAGTGGATTACAAGCTCAGCCAGCCGCTCGATCTGCGTCTGCGTCTGCGTCTGGGCTTCCACCATTCATGCCCCACTTGACAATACATTCAATATGAAGTTTTGCCAGCTATTTCTCCTTTTTTTTATTTATTGCAAATCAAGAGCTGAAGCTATTTTTGTATGAGTTTTTACTGATTTGGTTTTATGAAACTGCCATGAATATGAATATATATGTTAAAAAACTAAACTAGATTTAGAGCAATGAGTTTAAGCATAAATAGTCTTAGTATAGTTTGTTTAATAGAAATATTGCCAAAGAAATTGTACTCTTGACATATAAATTTCAGCTTTTCATTACTATATTAAGAGGAGGGTATTCTAACTTCGCCTTTGTTGGCGGTTATTTTTAATAGTTATCGAAGCAGTTGCCGCGTGGGTTGACGCCAGCTGCCAGCAACAGCAACAGCAACAGCAACAACAACTGCAACTACCACAGCAACCGCAACGACGCACAGTCTGAGGGCCCACGTTGAGTCTGTTGACGACGCCTTATCGTGTGCCACAAACTTTGAACTCGACACAGCTTGAACTTTCGACCGGTGTCATGGGAATTTTGCAAAAAAATAAATAATAATGCCAACAAGAATTGGACAAGGTGCCGCTGCAGCTGCTGCTGCTATGCAAATATTTGCAACCCTCGAGTTGGCACATGGCGCAAATTATGAACAGTTGTTGTGTCCACACTGGCAACAAGTGCGCCCAGTTACTGTCATTTCCCCTACGCCCTCCCCCATCCTTGGCAAATGTCAACTGACAATTGGCTGGTCGCTTGTCGTGCGCCTGCGCGGCAGATGCCACCGACGAATGTGGCATGCAGAAACGAAACTTGACAATTTGATGATGCGCTCATTCAACAGAATGTTGGGGTTGCAATTGCGGTGGCTTTGTCTAGCAGTTGGCCTGCAACTGAAGCATTTGCCCATTACAAAGGTATGCTAAACAAAAGGGTCTGTCTGCAACAGACAACAAACGAAAAACAAAAAAAAGAGTTGTTTCGAAAGAAAAGAAGACCAATGAAAACAATTAAGTTAGTTAAAAATTTAGAGAGCATAAAAAGGGATAAAGCTTAAAAACTTTTTGGAATTTATTAAATAGTGTTCATAGCTGAGACAAATTGTTGCCCGGCATGACGAGACTCATGAGCAAATGCTTAAGAAATCCGTAGATCTTCCTAACTTTTTTTTTGTATAACTTCTGATTTATAAGATAATTATCATGGCTTTTAAGAAAAGTGCTACAATTGTGCAAAACTTAAAGGATATGCTTAAAGGTCTGGGCTTGGAACTGGATATTGCTACTCAGCTTGTATTGGGTCGTCATTAACCAAAACTATAATTATTTAATATATTCCTTATTTATAGCATTTGTTAGATTTAAATTTAAGTAATTCGTGTTAATTGTCAACTAAATAAAATTTGATGAGTTTTCAACTAATTTCTACATATAAGCTAATTCACAATACATTATTCCGACTGCAGAAATTTGCATATCCTGCTGATAAGTTGCCAACTATTTTATGTAAGTGTGTTAAGCTCAGTTTCTTACACATTACAGTTCTCAGTTGTTTCTTTGTCTGTTGTGAGGGGCTGTGTGAGTGGGCGGGCTGCTTGCACTAAACAGTAGCTACTAAAATAATACACACACACTCAACTCTTGTGGTAGCCAATTTCATGGATTTTAAGCAGATTAATTGCAGGGTTGCTTTGCTTAAAATATTTGCAATTTGCAATTCTTGCCAATAAACTGAGACTAATAATCCCAACAAAGAGAAGAGTGTATGCTGAGAGTGCTCCCCATTTGAGAGTCAATGTACTCTTTGTTGTTTCGCTTGTTGCAACAATGCGCTGGGGTAATGCATCTAAATTGCAAAATTATGCAAGTGAGGGCAGGGGGAGTGGGGAGGTTGAAGGGGAATAACCCCACTGTTGAACTGCGCGCTACGCATGCGCTGTGGAAATAGTTATTTTTATTAGATTTATGCGAATCGCTGAGACTTGGTTGCGGTTTGCGCTAAATTGATTTGAATTTTCCGCTGCATTTTATTTCGTGTTTTGTTGCACCGCTTTTGGTTCAATGAATGAATTGCATTCGGTTTGCCGGTTTGCCCCCACAGCAGCAGCAGCAGCCGCAGCAGCAGACATCATGTGGTTCATGTGGGCGTCTTATTTCAGCTAAATTGGCAAACCGCGAGCCTGTGGTCGCATGTGGGCGTTCTGTGTGTGTGTGCTGTGTATGTTTCTATGTTGGCACCGGCACTTGTTTTCCTTTATGTAATTTCTTTGCAAATTACTTTACAACACACACACACACACACAAGTTTTTCCTGCTGCGGCTGCTTTGGGGCCTAATTCAATTTGCGGTTTGTCTTCGCGGCTTCAAATTGAACAATTTAACTTGCCTGCCTTCTTATTCACTTCCCAAGGGAACCTGCTGGCTGCGTGGAATGTGCCCTGTTAGAGCTACTTGCAAATTGAAATTACCCTGCGAGAATTTCTTAGAAACACTAAGCGAGGAATGTGCTGAGAAAGTTCTAACTTGGCTAATTGTATTACCAACAAAACCTATTTCAAAATAACAGACAAGTCGCCAGCAAAATATGATATCATTAAACAGCAATCTTTTACTCTATTCATACGATATGTCAGCGCTCAGTTTGTATTTGAAGACTATTTACGATATAAAAGTATTTACAATAAAGCCTTTTATCTTATCTTATTTCTCTCTTCTTGTTAAATACCTTGCAAAACGAGTTTTAGGTTCCATGAAACGATCGTTAAAACAATGCTGACTAAAATAAGCGCCACGGGCTGTGTCTTTTGTAAGGGTTACGATAAATAGAAGTGTTTAAATTTATGAATAGCTTATAATAAAATAAAGACAACACAGCGCAGAACAAAGCGAATAGGCTTGATGGCAAGATGTGTAGATCTTGAATGTCAATCAATATCAAACGTGTCGAAAATATTTTCCAAATAAATAATTATGCATATGGAACAAATGTGCTGATTGTTAGAATAGATTTGAATATGTTCAAGGTTATGAAAACTGTAAATTGCCAAGTCACATTTCCGTTAGAGCCATTCTCATAACTACTTCAAAAATTAATTTAGCTGCTGCAAATACATGTAGCTAATTGGAATGTTTTAACTAAAGCAAAAACTGTCACAGCGTCGATTCAAAGTGTCAGGTCAGGGCTGCTAATTTGAGCAGTGTTGTCAGACAGCTCAGGGTTAATTGGAGAGAGAGAGAGAGAGAGGGGGGGCATAGCTTAAGCGCCTCTCCCCTCCCCCCAGTGATGGAGTGAGTTTCACAAATATGCGTATTCATTACAGTTGATTGACAGACTAGACACAAACC